TTTTTTTTTTTTTTAACTTGAATTCAGGAGAATCCAAGAATGGATTAAGGAAGGTACTACTGGACAGTTAATGAATTATTGGATTTATTATTAATATGTTCTGACAGTTTATTTAACCTACGGTATTAATTGTGAATTTAGTAAGACAAAGAATTAGTTACATTCAGATATTATCGCTTCTCGGCCTTTTGGCTAAGATCAAGTGCAGATATTACTAAATGTTTTTGAGGATAATAAGGGGCTGAGATGAGTGTTGGGGGGCACAGTTTGTTCTTGATCCTGAAACACATAAAGCAAATGATGATTTTCAGGTTCCTTTCTTAGCCTTTTATCTTACTCACTTGTAGCCAGTCTGAATTCGGTTAATGTCCATGAATGAGAATAGCCGTAGGTAGATCCATTTACAGTCTCCTTTGGGTTCCTTGTGTTTATTTCTTAGTTTAAAGCAAGCCCCCTGGCCTTGTTGTTAACTGAAGTTTTTGGCAATGGTGACTTTTCTTGAGAAATGTAGTCTTGTGAAACTCCTAAAACATGCAGATTACAGACACTGGGTGTATCTCTTACCAATAATGACTATAATAAATTAGGAATTTGATTTTATTTAAGAAATTTTTTTTATGTTTGTTTTTGAGAGAGACAGAGAGCACGAGTGGGGAAGGGACAGAGAGAGACACACAGAATCTGAAGCAAGCTCCACACTCTGAGCTGTCAGCACAGAGCCCGATGGGGGGCTCAAACTCATGAACTGTGAGATTATGACCTAAGCCAAAGTCAGACGCTTAACCCACTGAGCCATCCAGGCGCCCCCGAAATTTTGTTTTAAACCCAGAATAATTATGGTTAATATTATATACACAAAAGTGTGTTTGTCTGCATGTTTCTCCTGTTAATGGACATGAGGCCAGATTTACCAACTGAAAGTGCCTAAAATTGCAGAATGTGTCATGAATGTGGGGGACCTGGCATGGCAGGCATGTAAATATATTTCACAGTGTGTGAGCACCTTCTAAGTGACAGGAAGAGGGAAGGCAGCATTTTTTGAGTGTCTTTTCTGTGCTAGTTTAAAAATACATATTTAATCTCCATAATAGGATTAAAAGCTTGGCATTTTATTTAGTTTAGCAAATAAAAGTATGGGCTCCAACCCCAATTGGTTGTGTTGGCTGCCTCGATGGTGATGATATTGATGGAGAAAAAAACTTAGAGATGAACGGGAGCTTCCTCAGGAAGGAAGCGGTGTGGCTCTGACCCCGGAGTCCGCCTTTTTCCTTCATACCGAGCTGCCTCCCAGCTATTAATACGATGCGGTTAAGAGAAGAACACCAACATTTACAGAGTGTGAACTAGAAGTATATTTTGGTCCTTTTCAGTAATTGTCACTTCACCTTAGGACACTGGGTTGCAACATTTTTTCGGTGCACCCGAGGGACTCACTGAGACAGGGGCAAACAAATAACAAATATTTGTTGCGTGAACGTGAATAGATGTTAGATAAAATGGACAGCCCAGAAAATAGCCTCCGTTGTGCTCAGTACATACCCCATCTCAGCTTCCCAGCCTGTTGCGTTACTTAAGGTCTGAACGGGATGAAATGCGGTTTAGTAGCGAGCTGGGCCTGGCTTTATGCAGGTGAGCCCCCCTCGGGAAGTGGGGTCTGGGGGGAGGCGCGGAGGGCATTCGTCTGCGATGCTCTCCAAATGGAACACAAGCGTAAAGGGGAAACTGCTTGTGCGGGAAGTCACGACTTTGAAATGCCTCCCCTTTGTGTCCAGGAGAAGCCCTGTGGGAGGCTATGTTCCTCTAACCAAAGGAGAAGGGACCGTGGCGAGGATGTCGGCCCTCAACTGGAAGCCCTTCGTGTACGGAGGGCTGGCCTCCATCACGGCCGAATGTGGTAAGGTGCCCCTCCCCCCCCTCCCCCCCAACCTGGATGGCGTTTTGGGGGGGGGGGGTCGATCACATGCGGCACGTGATGCCAATTAAAAGTTAAGGTCGCTCTCTGGTGTTTGATGTGATTGGAGGTGACACACAGAATGCGAGAATATGACACGTTAATCTCCGATTTCAAAACACCCTCCTTTTGGTATGTTTTTTTTCAGACAAACAGTCATTTTGGCTCCCAGCAGTTTAGGGGCCAAAGTTCGGTGTGGAGAAAGTGGAACCTGGTAATCAAACGAGTTTTATCAGACATTCCGAGGGTCCCTCTGTCCCTGTTTTCCTGTGCTTTTCGCCACTTGGCCACCGTTGGCACAGGAGGCCGCAGGGGCCAGATCTGACTGTCATTGTGCAGTCAGTCCGTAATTACGCACACGGTCCACGTTGTACTGGTGGCTTCCTCTTCCAATGCAGTTCCACGTCAGACCCCATTGATCGCTGTCTGTTCCCTGTCGGAATTGCTTCACCGGAAACCGATTGTGCAGCTGCCGAATGCCAGGTGCTGGGCTGGACGCGTCATTTGCTTCCAGGGCCCGGGCGCTGCCGTCCTGGGACAGAGGCTGCCCCTGGGGAGCCGGTGAGGCCCGGGGCTGAGGGGTTAAGGCGCGTTAACCACCCACCCACTTGGTTCCCTGTGGGGTGGGCTCTCCGTTCCACAGCGAATCGAGTTTACCGACAGTGTTCAGAATTCGGGTACTGCCTGTTGGGAGCTGTGTTTAACATCTGTACCTGCGTTCACAGATTTACTTCTAGACTGCAGAACACAGAGTGAGAAACTCCTTTAGCAAATGAGCTTACCCCTCCTCTTTCATATTGGACCTGATTTTAGCCTTCATACATGCAAAAGATGGTAACATATTTTAAAATGGATTTCCTGTTGGTGTAAATCATTCCCTGTACCTTTTTTTTTTTTTTTTTTTTTTTT